CTGGTGTGACCCAGCAGTACTCAGCATGAGTTCAACTCCACCTCCTTCCTAGCTGGTCAGTGCCTCTGCTGGAGGACCAAGGGGTTTAGAAGGTGCTAGTGCCAGAGTTTCCCCAGTGTGAATCCCCTAGGATAATGGGGACTTAGCAGGATTTGTCCACTTTGCCCGGTCCTATGCATACCTCCATCCTTCTTCCATAGTATCCTCAGGATACATGGCCAACCTAACACTCCATCTTTCTTGAATTCAAACAGAGTGCTATCAAAGCCATTTTCAGGTAATTTTTTCTATTATGTTTACTAGTGCTGTGTATTTTGTTGTTGCCAAGTTTCAACATAGTCCCTGGATTTCTAAGAATGCCACTTTTAAACTGTTTATCCTGGTTGCCAAACAAGTTTTCTTGAGTTTACATTTGCCCCTTGTTTATGACCCTCGACACACTAGTGTGCTTAAATGCCCTTATTTTCTTCACCTAGTTTTATGCTTTGTACACTAAACTAAAGCAGATACTGTGAAAGCTCTACATATTTAATGAAGCAAGAAATCCTCATGCTTCCCTGTGGTTACAGGGTTAGCACTGACCTTATTGCCTTGTAAGGCTTTACAAGGAAGTTATACGCGAGTATTTCTCCCAAAATGCCTGTTCACCATCACGTTCGAATAGCACTTTGGCCTCCAGTCACCAGAACATTCACATATGCTTGGATCATTGTCCTACTTACATGGCTGAGATTTTCTTGTTTTGCTTTTTAAGGGGAAACCTGAAACATAAAAAAGAGAGTAGAGGAGGAGTGATCTACGATCCCCTTTCCCATCTCTTCCCAAACACGAATTCTCCATTCATTAATACATTCTTTCATAATTAAGGGAAAATATAAACAGATGTGAAAAAAAAGATTAGTAGAATTTGTGAACAGCAGATACACCCTAAAAATGTCAAAAGAATAATAATGTCATTCTATGTTTTTAAAGGTTTATTTATGTTTATATGTTTATATCTGTGTGCCTGTGTGAGTTTACTGTGCACCATGTGTGTGCCTAGTGCCGGTGGACGCATGTGGATGGAGGCCAGAGGATGTCTGAACCCCTGGAACTGGAAGTACAGGTGGTTGTGAGAGCGCTGATGTGGGTTCTTGGAATCCTCATGAAGATCAGTAAGCACTCTTAACTTTTGAACTATTTCTCCAGTCCCTTACGTGTTTTTTAAAATTATGTTTGAGTATGGAAACCTCAAAAAAAAATTGCCATCTAACACAATGCTCTCCTCCTGCAGCTGAAATACTTTAAAAATGTATTTTTAAAAAGAGGTTCAGCAGACCTAAAATGAGTGAGATCTCCATAGTGCTGGAAATAATTTAATATGCCAATGTCAGCTGAGTGTGAGAAGTTAATATGTATTGTTAATACTTGCAGGCAGACACTAAAATTGACTATATTAATGCATTATATAGCAGTACAGAGAAATCACAACGAAATTTTTAAAGTTTTCATGTAATCCACAGGAGGGGAAGAATATAGGAAGAGGAGAAAGAAACAGAATTAAAGAACAAAAATATATTAATATGTCTTAGTCAAATCTTATCAATACTCATTTTATTTTTGTTCTTGCAACAGGATTTTACTCACTATTTAGTTCTGGCTGGCCTGTAATTCTCTATTGAAGGCCAGACGGATCTCAAACTCAGAAAAATTTACCTGCCTTTGCCTCCTGAGTACTAGTATAAAAGGTGTATACCATCATTAAATTTAAGTGGTCTAAACAGATTGATTAGAAGACAGAGACTGTCAGAGTAAATTAAAAACTCACTTCAAAATTTATTAAGTAACTTAAAATATTTACTTAGCACAGCATGGTTAACAATCAGCCAAAAAATAGGGAAAATTAAGTGTTCATCAACTCATGAACGGATAAACAAAGTGTGGCCCCCATATACCATAGAATACTATTCAGTCATTAAAAAAACAAACATGGGTATAACTGATGCTCATCAAATAATGACAAGTACATTAAAATTTCTATAAATAATTCTAAAAAGACCCACCTCAACTACAACAAAACATCAAATATTTTCAAAACTGCTACGATTCAAAGAAAACGGACAAAAATCCTGAGTCACATTGTGTTCCTTTGAATTTTTAACACTATTGTCCCCAAGCTTCACTGCCCTATCCTGCCCAACAACTTAGGAGTTGATATTTAGTAAAATTCAGTTTGTCCTAGGGCTGGAGGTGCCAGGGAAAGCACAGCTACCACCTGCAGAGCTTCAGCAGAGAGCACAGAAAACACAATCACTTCAGCTAGGTTACGTTTGTAATAGAGAAGGACTAGTCACTGACTATGAAAAAACACGTTTTACTTCTTAAGGGTATAATGAAAAGACCAGTAATGAAAACCAGTGAGAACTCGAAAACAGCTTTGTTCCATGAAATATTACTGCATAGTCCTTCTTGCAAGATTCAACCAAATCAAAAGAACCAAACCTGATAAACATTTAAAGCAATAGCCTCAACCAGTGTATGAATCAGGTCTCCTACAGTTCCTATTTTTCTCTTTCTCAGTCCATACACATGCAAATTTGTATTTCTCCTTATAGACCTTTTCTTTATACACTGACAATGAAATCACAAGGTAACATGTGATTAAAACACTGCTCCATTTTAAAAATTAGTATACGCCAGGCCATGATGGCATATACTTTTACCCTCAGTGCTCAGGAAGTAGAGACAGGTACAACTAAAAAGTAAAAATAAAAATAATTATTAGTAAAAGTAAAAGTAAAAGTAAAAAAAAATTATTACACATTTTTCCCTCATCTTGAAGAAGTGCTCAGTGATAAAGAACTGCTCTCTTTTTCCTTTGTTTCTTTCTCAGTAATAGAGTGTTCTTTTTTTTGTAGCCCAAATGCCAAATTAATGTTTTTGCCACCCTTACCGCCAAGCTTAATGACTTGAGTTAAATCCCAAGGATCCACAAGGTAGAAGGAAAAAATCAACTTCTGCATGTCAAATCATCCTCTGACCTCCATAGGCACGCAATGTACACACACACATATGTGCATACATGTTAAATAAATAAATACTTTTAAATTGAATAAATACCAGATTGAGAGCTCCTGCTGCTTTGGTTACCTTTCTCTCCTTGATGTCGAAAAGGAACACCTGCCCCCAGCAGAATCCATATAAAACTCCCTGTGAAGCTGTCTGTGATACAAGCAGCTACAGTGCCTGGTAGGCAGTGCGCCAAGGTGACCCCCAAGGCCATAGCTCCGGACTTCTGGCAGCAACTGTAAGCATGAGCACCAAGTGCTCAGGGAGAACATCATTTTTTAAAAAATAACTAAGTATTCACTTATTTGTACACATGTGTGTGAGCGTGGGCATGCGTGCATGATCAAGAGGGGGAGTGTGTCCAAGAGCATTCACATACATGTGGAGGTAAGAAAGATGCTTTTGAGGAGTTGCTTTTTTCTTTCCACTGTGTAGGTTCAAGGATCAAACTTAGGTCGTCTGGCTTGGCGACAAGCACCTTTTACCCACTTATTTTTCCCTTCAGTAACAGCGATTAAACCTAGGATCCATGAATGCTAGCCAAAGCTCTCTACCACTGAGTTACATGGCTCAATTCAAATGACTTACTCTTGAATTTACAGTATATTGTCTACAAACATGTTTGTTTTTTTTTTTTTTCAAAGCCTTCCACCTGGCCTTCTTTGAGTAAACTACACTCCTATTGGCTGGTTGACCAGGCACACAGACGCTCCACCCGTGGCAGTCTTGCCCATGTGAGAGCCTTAGACTGGAGAGGATGAACAAAGAACGGAAGTAGATTAGCTTCTGCTACAGCTGCTGTAATTAAGTTTCTCATCCGAGACAGAGTCCCAGACAAAAGAGAGCCTCACTCCTGGTACCACTTGGGCTCCAACAACAAACCATGCACCGGCTAATTTCCAGATTTTGTGCCTTCTTTCGAAGGAAAGCCGACTCTGAGGAAGAGAGAGAGCAGAAGCCGAGGCTCTTGGAAGGTAAAGTGTACTAATTCTTTCCCCCAAAAGACCTTCTCAGAAATGTGTCCCTTATCTGGAGTCTAAGGAAGTCAGAAAACCTCTACCTGGCTTAGTGGTACCATCTTATTGCGGTAGGGCGTCCCCAGTTCCTTGCCCTGTGCCCTCCTACGCCACCTACTGGGTAGTCTTGCATAGATTCGCTCTAGAACTTTCCTGGCCAAAGGAATGACAAACGGCAAAGAGAAAATAATGACAAATAAAGGCAAAACAATGGAGACTACAGAGATTGCGCAGAAGTTAGTAGCATTATAGGTTCTTAGATGAACCTGGGTTCAGTTCCCAGCACCCACATTGCTGCTCACAACTGCCTGTAACTCTAGTTCTTGGAATTCCAAAGTATTATTCCCTCTGATGGCACATGGCACGGATACATACACTCAGGTGTGCGCGTGCACACGTGCGTGCAAACACACACAGTTTCTTTTTAAAAATGTTTAAAATAAAAAGGACAAAGCATAGGAAAAGGCAAAGAAGGCAGGGGTGTGTGAGGAGCCATTGCAGTATACTTGAGGAGCCATTGCAGTATACCTGAGGAGCCATTGCAGTATACCTGAGGAGCTATTGCAGTATACCTGAGGAGCCATTGCAGTATACCTGAGGAGCTATTGCAGTATACCTGAGGAGCCATTGCAGTATACCTGAGGAGCTATTAGCAATTGATAGCTGCTGGGAGAGGGGATGGTTTTCTCTAAAATTGTAACCACTGGTAGGATGACCACACTCAAAGGCTGGCACTAGACCAAAGAGTATTGGGGCAGCACAAATTGGATTTGGTGGGCTAAAAAAGGAAGACAGGAAGAAACTACTAAGTTGGGTGACTAGGGTGGATCTGGGAGGAATTGGAGCACGTGGGGTGGGTCAATAGGATGAAAACATATTGTACGAAATTCTTAAAGAATTAGTAAAATCTTCTTTAAACAAAAAAGGCAGAGGTAGGAAATTAGAGAAGGGGAGGAGGTGGGAGAGGCGAGGTGTCCCATTTTGCATTTGTCTACGTTCTTTTTGGAACTTTGAAACATTTGGAGTTCAGGTCTCCCTTTGTAAGTCAGTTATACCATTGAGTCCCAGCGTCTCCTACTTTAGTTTACCATAGGTTACAGGAAGATTCCTTTTGTATTTACAGTAGGAGTGGATCTTTTACTGTATCCTAAAATCTATCTGTTTTTGTGTGTGTACGAGTGTAGCTGTGCAACAGCACATGCCAGGAGGTCAGAGGACAACTTTTAGAAGTCACTTCTCTCCAGCCATTTTGTGGGCTCAAGGAATCAAATCCAGGTATCAGGCCTTGGTACAAGTGTCTCTACCCAATGAGCCATTTTGCCAGCACATTGATTTTGTTTCTTAACAGAGCACATGTCTTTATTTATGAACCAATTTTGTGCTACTGTGATAAAATGCCCAAGACAAATTAACTTACAGGAAGAAAGGCTTCCCGTGGCTCACACTTTCTGAACATCCGGTGGGGGAGGTGGGCAAAGATGTAGTGGAGCAGAGCTGCTCAACTCAGGACAGACAGGAAGGAGAGAAAAAGATCAATTTCATAACAAAACCCTTTAGCCCCAAATTCATCAAGCCATATGAATTAAAAAATAGAATTAATCAGCTAATGAGGTCAGGGCCTTTCTAATCCAAAGACTTCACTTCTGAACACTGCTCACTGGGGACCAAACCTTTTTTGATTTTGCTTTTCCAGACAGGGTTTCTCTGTGTATCCTTGGCTGTCCTAGAACTCGCTTTGCAGACCAGGCTGGCCTCTGCCTCCCGAGTGCTGGGATTAAAGGCCTGTACCACCACAGCCTGTTAGGGACTAACCTTTTAATACATTAGCTTATAAATGACATTTAAAACCAACCTATAACAGGAACCAAGCAAATGAGTCATATATCTGTGACCAGTAAGAAGATAGGTATCAAAGTTTACTTGCTCACTTTGTATCCCTAAATATATGCCCTGAAGTCTGCCACTGATAACCTGTACAATGGATTATTTTAAACGTATGTATTTCATCATTAGCAAGAGTCCAGTAAATAGTGTGAAATGGCTGGGAAAAATTGTGTCCCTGCTCTGAATTATATCAATTCTAATTAATTGCATCAATCTAATTAACTATAATTTATGTTCAAAGACTCTGGCTTTAAGGCCTGAAAATATCATTAGTATTCACAAGCATCCTAACTAAAGAAGCTCTAGTATTATGTCCATGCTACAGACAAGACAGGTAGGCAAACAGCAAAGAGCGCAAAGCTAATTTGTGGTCACACAGAACTCATACCCTGACACCTAGATTGAACAAACAAAAAGAAAACACACACACACACACACACACACACACACACACA